AGAAGACTTCAAACAACAGTGTTCCCATCTAACGTTACCATCAGGAAGGCTCATACAGCCTGTCCCACCAGTTGTTTTAAATTAAAGCATGAGAATCACTTCATAATGTTACTTTGTGCAACTATGCATACACTATTTTCTTCTTCATGAGATCTTGTTCACCCTTACTGTCCCCTGTGGAGCAGTAGGGACAAGTGTGCTTATTTTTATCAAATAACAGAATAGCTAACTGAAGAACAGGGGAAACACAAGACGATCAGACTGCTGCACCACACATCTAAATCAACTGTAAAGCCAAAGCATTCCTCCCGTTCCAAACCCATCCTATCTCCAAGCTCTGACGTGCTTTATTTTCTCACTCTAAATCTCATCTTTATCCAGATAAACATCAGTCCTCCTAAATGGAAAGGAACAGAGAAAAACTTTTGAATAATTTTTGTAATTTTAAAATATGTTGTGCAGTTTTCAGTGATTGCTAGATAAATCATAGTTATCACAAAGAAAAAAAAATCAGTAAAGACTTTTTTAAAAGTTGTTTTAAAGCTAGCAATCTGTTAAAGAAACCTAAAAGAATGTTTTTGGAACAGTTGGCACCATCTGTTTAATAGAAAAAAGGAAAAAAAAATACTGTAGTTAGCATAAGCATTGCTTAACTCAGCAGACAAGTAAAAAACCCATCAACTTACATTTCAATAAAATACAAATTATCTGGATTTTGCCAGAGAGAAATAGACTGTGTCACGGTAATGTGTAACTACATTCGATAACATTCTTTAGTGCATATTTCATTATTTCTCAACATCTCACAGGTACTCAAAAAATACTTAGCCAAAACCCACATTTAATTCCCAATACTCTGTGGTGAAAGCCAAGTAAACACATTATGAACTGGGCATCTGCTTACCCAAGACCAACACATGGCATTTATAATTTTGCCAGTTCCGTTACTAACATATCCAAACAGATGCCAAAGGAAGTAATCCAAAGACTTTGCAGGCAGTGGGAATGAATTAGCCTTATTCAGAAGCAAAGCAATAAAATCACCTAATGGATGACACCAACATAAAAACATGGTGCTAAGCTTTACAAAGCATAGGAGAGGTAAAAAGAAACGTTAAGGCAATAATACAGATGCTCAGAACTAGAAACAGGCACCTCTTATATACATTGTCAGCTGTTATCAGCTTCTCTTGCCCAAGTACATAATACACACTTTCAGTGACAAAACAGCTGGGTGTACCGGGCCCTCTCTCAGCAACATAAATATCGAACTCACTGGCAACCAATGCATCCTGTACGGGCTGTTTGATCTATCAGATGATTTTGGTTTTGTTATTATACTAACCAACACTCAACCATTTACCAAGCCAGACAGCTTTCTTAAACGCTCACAGTGTATTCTGTGATGTTGGGCAAAACCCAATAAGGGTAACAAAACCCTAGAATATCTGGTAAAACAGGAAAAACAGGAAAATATCATTAGTATAGATGTGCTTGAGGAGTATGGTGCAGACATATCCATGTTGATCTGCGATCCCCCAAGGTCCAAACTCATAATGTTGGCACTGCACTGAAATGAGCCTTATGTAAGTCACTATGCTGGAGATTGCAGTTCAGCATATTTCACACACAACCAGTTTATGTCCATCAGGCCTGGCAATAAACTTGAGGTAATGTGCCTAAGTGGACCTGTGGTGACACCATCCTGCTCAGAATGCCAAATCCAGTAAAACCTTTGTTCAAGCTCAACGCTGCAGGAATGTTTTTGGACCCCAGTTAGTCCTGAAAACAGCTTACATGCCACTGCACCTACGCTAGTCAACCACACCAACTAATAAATCAGCTAATAAGGCTTGCTGGAACTGCCTACGCACCTATGGCCTGACTTGCCCACTAAACTAACCAGATAAAGCCCTTGGGCAGGTGCAGGGTGGTGGTGAAGGCCACTAGACTGTAAGCAACATTTTATTTTAATCTTTCAGATTTTATGCTTGATCAGATTAGCCATGGTGAATAGTTCCTGCAGCCTTTTTTTGCTAGTCCTAAGAATATCAACAAAGTGCTCCTAATATAGTGCAACTATAGGGAATTCATATATTGCACCAACATAGTAAGCATTCCACAAATCCAATAAATGATACCAATAAGCAGATATTGGAAGTCTGTATTAATACACTCAGGACTGTGAGGGATGTCATCACCTGGATGTAACTATGACAGAAAACCATGATATAAAACCGCCCCGGTGTAAAACTCAGCTGACTGTGCTGACCCATGGCATCTACTACTGATGTTGTCTGCTCCAAACCTCTAAACTGAACGCTTATCAAAGCAAACAAACAAAAAAATAAGTCCAGATACTGCCCACTGGTCTGACCCTACAGACATGAAGGAATAATGAAAGAGGCTATCCATCAAAAGGACACTGAAGTCTGTCTGGAGGTGCTGGTGTATTTTCAGAAAGAGCAGGGTTCTGTTTTCCTGCCAGGGCACATTTGAGTAGGTGGGAGAAGCCTTGGAGGTCAGGCTTTATTAATGTGTGAACAAAGATTAGTCTCCACATCGTCCCCACTGCATTCCAACAATCCATTTTTCTTGTTTTCCTTTGAGATTGCTAGCACGCAAACAACAACTCATTCTCTCTGCTATAATTTGTCTTTTTTTTTGGACATATTTTCTATTTGAAAGAATCATATTCAAAATGTCAGAGAATTTACAGACTAGCAATGCAACATGGAAGAGAAGATATCTAGAAAAGGGAAGGGAGAAAACATACGAATTTATGAGTATTTGATGGCTGAATAAGTCATGTCACTGAATTTTATATCAAGCATAATTTCAAATATCTCTTTTCATTTCACTGTATTTTTTAAAGAAATGCCTGATAATGCATCAAAACAGCTTAAAATAAAAAATAAAAAAAAATTACTTAAATTTAGTTCTACAGGAACTTCTAATGAAAACCAGCCTTTGAGACATTTTATTGTGGTACTTCTGTCAATGATTCCATAATAACTTTGGAAAAGAAGTACTCTTTATAAATATAAAATAGACGGAAAAGCTGTGAAAAAAAATATAAAATGCATTTAAACTTTACCCTTCAACTCCCGGTAATAACATTCTGTCTTCTGTGGAGATTCTGCCTGTATGGGGATCACAGTAAGGCAAGTACATTTACCCTACCAAGCTTAACATGACTGTAAGTGAATCTCAAAGACAGGAATGCAGGACCTATGATGCTGCAGCCCTGATTGATAACTAAGTCAGTTATAAATAAATCTGGAACAGTTGGGATTGACTGTTGTTTAGCACTTTCAGACAGACATTCAGGGCAACTGGCAGGGACTTTGAAAGCTGTTTCCTATATTAGAATCATGACAAAAATAGAAGTGAGGCTGCATTCCCTTGTCTTCTGCTAAAATAGAACTTACTCAAAAACAGTTTTACAAGTTTGGCGAGGCATAACTAGTCCACTGTCAGATACAGAACAAAATCATAATTGGAAGTCCCATGTTGATCTACCATGAATAGTTATATATTGAATTCATAAGAACAAAAAAAAAAAAAAAAAAAAAAAAAAGAAAAAAAAACACGTGGAGGGTAAAAACAGATATTAGGGACAAGGAGAAGCTGTTTTGTTTTTTTTTTTAAAAACTTAGAAGTGAGGGTACAATCAGAATTCACTAGCCAGAAAGAGCCTTAAGAGCATTAAAAATAAAATAAAAAAGGGACAATCATATATTTTACCAACTGTCCTGAGGAATATATGGAGCTTTTTTGATGTTTGGGGTGTTTTGTTGCTGGTTTGGGGTTTGTTTGTTTTGGTTTGTTTTTAAATTCAAGAACAGATGTTGCATAATAAGTACTGACAGCAAGGCTGAGTTGTGAGAATGGAACAGGAAAGAGGGAACATGTATGGGGTTTTGTTCTGTTTTTAAGTGCCCCAAATACTATTCACAGGGCAAGCATTTATCACAGAGTTATCTTGCCTCCAGCACTTAAGCTTCCAGATAAATTAAGTTGGCTTTTATTTATGTGTCTTTTACAGTCAAAATATATCTATCAAAATATTGTAGGATTAGCTGGTTCACCAACTAAACAGCCCGTTGTTTTGCCAAAATTATCAGTGGCCTTAATGAGCAATTAAGAGCTTTCAGGGTCAGTGAGAACAGAAAATCTTAACATAGATCAGAAATTCTATGTATAATTTCACGTTACTCTTTCAGATCAAGAGTGAACTCCCAAACTATATGCAAAAGGCACGCGTGACTGAGAACAGAATGTGCATAGTATAATACAAAATCATAGGAGAGAGGAGTAAGAGCAATTCAATTTAGCCAAGTAACTCTCCCAAACAGGTTTCCCATAAACTATTCTTTCTCAACCAGAACAGGTCTTCATAGTGTTTCACTGACAGATGTGAAATTGCCCCACCTGCATGCACTCTAAACCACCCTGAACCAAATCAGCTCCAACCTAGAAACTCCGTCACCGTGGTGCATGATGCCATCCTGCCATCACTTAGCAGACCTTGTTGCTGCGGTTCAGGAGCCAGTGAGCCCTGATGCAGACCTTGTGGTCTGGGCAGGATCACTACTTCTTGGGTCAGAACACACACAAAGCGGACTCACGCTTCTCTACAAAATACCGTGTACCAAATCCACCAGTGACTTCCAGCTATTATTCCTATAGTTTCTACAATATGCAAACTGCAACAGAATCAGCACTAGGAAATTTCTGCAACTTGCCTTTGAAAGTAAGCCTAGTATAAATTAAGGCATGATTCAAGGACTCCAGGCTTGCTGAAAAACTACACACACAGGACCACATTTCAGTCACCGAATTGTGTTTTTTCCGTCATGACAACTGCTGAAAACATGCATGTTGAGAGAAAATTCATCATAAAGAGTCAAATCTTTTCTTTGTAATGGATTGCCACATTGCAGACGTAGTTTCCTTTTACCATAATAGCCTGCATAAATGTATTTTAAACTAATTACCTTTAGGTGGAAAATATGACTTGCTTTCAGCTTTGTGAGGCCAGTCCACCACAAGAGGTCCAAACCTACGAAAGCTGGCAGTGATCTCATCTACAAAAAACAAACGAGGCACCTTAGAGAGAATCTGAAAACTGACAGTGGCAAGATAAAAATTCTTACTTTAAAAAAAAAAAAACAAAAAAAAAAACCAAAGAGAAACAAACCCAGACTATTTTCTACATCTATTAAGAACACCGAAAACTGCAATAATATACATAGAGGATGCCTAAATATTCTTTCATCTCTATGCTATAGATGGCTGCTTAAAAAAGTAATTTTACATTCCACTAATGCAAGTTTGCAGCAGGATTAAATGCAAACATGATCTATCAAAAGTGAATATGCTTCAGCTGCAGTCTATTTCTATTTATAGCCACAAAGCTGGGTCAGATGCAGCCACATGGGAATGACAGAGGAGCTACATGTCGGCGTGGCCACTCCTTGTGGCATGCCCTAGAAAGCAGGCTGCATCAGGTCATGAGACTGTGGGGATTTCACCTGCCTCAGTCCCCTCTGGAAATCTGCCTTGAATTATCAAGTTATTTCTTTGCTTTTTAAGCATCAATTTAGAAACACCGTGGCAGACATCTCAAACTATCCTATATGACAATTTTGGTTTACATGCAAATGCTTCAGAAAAAAAAGTATTTTATTTTTTTAAAATCTTTTTTCTCAATGTATTTATTCATGTACTTTAAAGCAAGAATTAATTTAAAATTGTGTCTAATGTGATGCTAGATAAATCAGAGCAACAATCCATCAGGAGAAAAGTTTGAAGACAAAGGCAGTGGTTTTCCAGTTTTATGATTGCTGTTTGAGATATGTCCAGTTTATGTGACCCCATGAGCTGCACGTCAGATTTTTCGAGTGACTAGAGCCAAAAAACACATATTGCATAACTCAGAATCTGAAGGAAAAAAGTTGTTACTGAAGTAGATCTCTCAGGGAAGATGGTGACAGCTCCCAAGTGGCCATGTTACTTCCTTGCAGAATAGGCAAGGCATGTATTTTGATTCTGAGTGACTCAGCATCGCGTACATCAGTTGTACCTGTTGGCCTGCTTCTTCTCAGAGCTGGGGATTCAGATTACCCAACAGTCCCTGTATCAACAGTCTTGCAACTCATGATGTGACATGGGAACTGCATTTGAACTGTTTGTAAACCATAGATTGGCAATTCACACTATTTCTTTATTAAAATTGCACATGGTTTAGGCTTTAGTTTAGTAGATCAGATTCAGAGATCCCTCTCTTCATTATAAGGCATCCTGAAATTCCCTGTGTATACTAATTGAAGGTAGATAATGGTGTATGCCATCTATAATATGAAAAATACATCAAAAGCTATCATGATTTTGGTTTGGGAGTCAGGGTGTATGGGGGCACACACAAGTACAGCAGATACTGACTGAGATTGAGGGAAAAAAAAAATTACCATCCCTATTAAGCTGGTTATTATTTTGTAACCATATTAACTGCCCTACATTTGTAAAGCCTGATTTATTTTGGTAAAGACTGTATTAACAAAGTCCTTAAAGTCAACCACATCTTTTAAAAAGAACAGGGAAAGACTATGGAGGAGTGACAGTACCTACTAAGTTCCCTTTTTCAGCTTTCCCACTTTACATACGTGGGAACACATGATGCTATTGCAGATTAAAAGGCCTGCTATGCAGGCATGCCTGCCTCCATCTCTTCTGATGTACAGTACAAAAGAACGTCAAGTAAATTCTCAGGTGTTGCAGGGGGTGGTGGTGTTTGTTTCAAATAACACCACAAGCACTAAGCGACATACCTGGGGAAATACATTTGTTTTTATGAAAATCTGACCTTTTAAAAATAATTATATGAAAGCCAATTCCCACATCTCACCAATGTAACTTTGTCACAGTACCTTCATCAATGTCAGGAGGAAGACCTCCAACAAACACCTTTCTAGAATAGCGTTCCACTCTTTCACCATTCTGACAGCGTGTTGGAGAGCTGAGACCCGATGATAAAGACTGATCACCATGACTGTCGTCTAGGAAGCCATCTTCAAAAGGAAAGAGAGAAGACCGACCTGTAACAGATTTTGTAGTATCTATAGTTAACGCTATTTCCTGGAGAATTAAATATTTCAGTAAAAATGTTATATTTTGTTTTACAGTTTTGCTTTAACAGAATTTGCATTAAAGGGCCCCGCTAAGTGGTCCAATTATACAAATGATATTCATTAGTATTGCTTTTATTTTTCCTAAGACTATATTATATTATCCTTACAAGACAATAAACCTAATTTAACTTTAAAACAAACCCTTGCAAATGGCTAGCAATGAAAAACGATGAGTTATCTGATGAAATTCTGTCATAGCTATAGAAAGAACCTTTTAAGATTTGCATTTCAAACTGATTCTTAGAAAATCTTAGAATCTTCCATAGCAGATCTTGAAGGAATGATCTTAAAGAGCAGATCCCTCAAGCCATTGCACTGCAGAGCAGGACAGTCTCCTTCAGAGTGCTTTACAGGGTCCTAACCACAAGGGCTGCATCACTTCCTCCTCGAGTGAACAGAGGACCAGTCTGAGTAGGGGGCAAACAGCAAAATAAACATAGAAAAGCTTTGTATTGTGGATATTAAACATGTAGGTGAAGCAAGAAGCTTAGCTCTTTAAAATCTTGTTAAATAAACCACAAAAAAATTGCAGTTGAAGAAAAAAGTTGTTAGCTAGGACAGCCTGTCAAGCTGTTACTCAGTGTTAAAACACCCTTTCAGTAATGAATTAACAAAAAGCAAGATAAATGGCTGCTACTCAGTTTGTTAATGAAAAGCAAAGAATTTATTTGTGATCATCTGATGCAATTAACTTGTTGTTATTACTACCAAAGTATACACACATTATCTTGAGAACAGATTTATTAACCCAGAAGGTAATGCAATATTCAAAGTTTGTACGACAGCAACACTGTAGAACATACCACTTTTAGAATGTAATAATTCCCTATCGATACCTGACTTGAAAAATAAATCCTGCAGTGTAGAGAGATGTATAAATGGGAACCCCATCTCAACTTCGAAAAGGCTAACTGTCCCCTCATATCAAGGAGGGATTGCTCCCAGGGATGGAATTAGAACTAATTGTTACAAAAAGTTTATAGGAGGGCTAATTAGAAATATAAATAGCAGGGCACATAATTAAATTCAAAGGTAATGGATTACATGAAACTGACTTCTGGCAAGACCTAACGAAGAATTAATACCATACTGGTATTAACAGCACAGGGAAGTACAGGAAATACAAACAGAGGCAAGGGGAAAAATCAAGACATTCAGAGGGATACTAGTGAGAAAAATGTATACACTGAAAATATCAGTAAAAACTCCAGTAGTAAAGAACAGATTACAAAAAGAAGCAGCTATCCTATGTCTGGAAAACAAGCTAACAAACAAAAACCAGGAAAGACGGTCTGACTGCCACAGAGCACCAGCCTGATTTTTTATGGACACCAGGCACTAGCAGTGCCTTAATTAGAAAGAATATATTGAATGCACAACATTGGCAGAGGTCACAGATACAAAAATCCACTGAAGCAAAAATCCTACTGTGCTTTTAAGCACGAACATAAAAAACAGGGGAAATGCCACAATCAGAGAGGGATTTACAGATGCTACTCTTCAAAGTCTAGTATAACTGGTTGTCAGAAATAGTGGGTTTACAGCATAAAGCAGGAAAGATCTTCGATGAATATTCTGTTAATAAACAAACAGGTCATGCGCATATATAACATATGCATTTCAGCATAAAAGAGAACCCATCCATGAGAGAAATAATAAAGAAGGCTAAAATTGTGTAGAAGTATCAAATCAGAAAACCCACTGAAAAGTAGGAAATTTGGAAATATTCATAAGAGATTGACATTACTAAGAAGCTAAATAATCTTTTAATTCCCACCCCCCAACCTACCTTATTGTAAAAAATAAAACAAACAACAAATATGAGTCATTAGTGGAAGCTGACATGTCAGATTAATAGATACTAGAACAAGGTGTTCAACTAAAATACAGGTTTACAGAGGAGGCTGAATAAGTGCTGAGTTCTGAAGGAGATAATAAAAACACACAGCGGCTTAAAAAGCAAGATATCACTTCTTATGCCAAATGCTTGACAGTCTGCAAGCATTGTACTCGTATTAAGTAAATGCAAAAGATGATCTAAAACTATACTTAAGTCAAGTATAGAGTTAAATGTATGAAGTATACATTTAAAATAACAGAAAGCATAAAGACAAGGGAATAGGGAATGATTGTTCACTGTCTTTTCCAGTAAGGGGGAACTAAAGTGCATTGAACACAATCTGTACATGGCATGGCTGAAAGCAAATCAAACTGTGGAACCCCTTGCCACAGGCTTTTTAGGATGCTGAAAAGTTTATGTAGGTTCAGAAAAGGGAATAAGCAGAACAGAAGAAAAACCCATTCTGAAGCAATAAATATTGAGACATCACCTCAAGAAACCCCCAGAGGCAAATCTCTGGGAGAGTATTATGGTAAAGCATCACTAAATGCCCTATTTTTATAATCCTGCGCCTCTCCCCTGGCATCTCTGAGTAGTCAGTGTAGCAGAATAGATTTTGGGCTGATTTCCCATAGCTGTGCTTACATCTGTATCTGAAAAAGTGGTTGTAAAAGTTAAAAAGAAGGTACCTAAGAGAACATGACTCAACAGCTCTAAGCATGATACCTACAGAGAAACACTCGCCTCTTTACTCAAAGAGTCTTACTGAAGATGCTTAGTCACAGTGACAGAATCAAGCACTAATTAAAATATCCAAGTATAATAAACATGAAATGAGTCCCTGCACAGGTTTGCCTCTGCGTACTCTGCATATTACCACAATGCAAATGGCAAAAACAATAATAGAGAGGGATACATGAGAACGTTTGATAAACACCACATCACTTTTTTAACAGACTGTTGTAGAATTTCGTATTTCTTAAGGTTAAGAAAGCTCAAAACAATATTATAAAATTCAAGGTAATAAAAAAGCATGAATATCACAAATTTTAGTATTGTATGAATGAGGCAAGTCACAAAATCCCTAACATTAATGACAAGACACACACACACACAAATCTACTTATTACTATAGAAGAGCCTGAATTTCACATAGGAAACAGTTATTATGGAGTGAAACATGCTTTTTGTTAGAGTGAAAAATAAATTCTGAAAGTCCAGCACATTCAGAACTTGTTTGCCCAGTTTTGTCATCACTACAATTTGTATAAAACAGCCAACACTGTATTCATCACAATTACTGCCACATTATTGTATTTCACTTCTACAAGTAAACATGAGTTGCAGGAAGTCAATAGTGACCAACTGATTTCCCCCTCCTTCTCCCTGCTTTGGTGCCATTTGATCAACCTGGAAACACTTGCACAATCTTAAAATGAAATTAGACAGTGTTCACATGCACAGAGAATATACAATATTTTATACTCCACATACTTTCCAATTTGTTTCAGTACCATGAGAGCACTGAAAAAGTGTAAGTATCAGGATGCTTTCAACATCTGTTAACAATAGCATGTTTTCTGGAAGCGGGGAAAAATAGGAAGGTAAGTTCGTGGGGAAAATGTAAATCTTTTCTTTTTGTTTTAACTTTCAAATAAACACTAAAACCAGTCAGCTTTGAACAAAATCAGCTCAAATTCTATATTATAAACTCTGTTAGTACAGCCTATATGGCCCGCTGCCTCAATCCATACATAGTGCAAACTACAGGTTACTTATATGCTATCAGCTTGCTTGTATGGCTAGGTCTGTCTACGAGCTTCTTCACAAACATGATGCAAATTCTACATTTTGAAAAGAAAGTGATGGCACATGCACAGCTGTCACAGAAGATCCATGATAAAGATGATAAAATGAAGTTTAATGCCAAAGTACCCAACCAGATGACACTGCCCAACTCTAATTGTTAAAAGCTGCAATCTTCACTGTTATTTTCTCAAGAAAAAAAACAGTCTGTGTAAGCTACAGCACAATACATAAATGTAAGCTACGTTAGTGGCTTTCTTGGTGGTTAGCGAGCTTGTTAATGTCTATGTTCATTAATCTCTCAGAATAAACTTATATGCAGCACTGTATATTTGTAAAATGTTTTCAGTCCGCTTTTATTTTTTAAGGGTTGCCTATGATGAAATAAAGTTAAAATGTGCTCAAATGTTGTATCTTTTTAAATTATTATTATCAATAATAATTGCAACTGTTGAGGACAGTTATTAGTATTCATATTCACAATGTTCTACCTAAGGTAATCCAATGTAATACTCAAATGTAATATTCAATGAAAGAGATTTCATCTAAGAAAAAAGTATTTTTGAAATGTTCAATGCACTAGTTAAAAATTGCAGTTCTACCCAAAAAAACCCAAACCTGAAAACAATCTTTTTTTGGAACACTACACATTTAAAGTCATAAATATGTGTCATGAAAGATGTTTTACATTCAGTCATCATCTAGTTCACTGGTAATAGCAACACACTTGAAGTTATCAGATCAAGACCATCATTGCTTTAATCTGCTATTGAAAGGGAGATGTTTTGCAAACAAAGAATATGAGATTGATTTATACAAAGCAACTGATCAACCAAATAATGTTAAAATTGGTAACATCATCTTATCATAAGAGAACTAAATATTTATTTCTCCCACTATTCAGCAAACAAAACATTTAGTAAATACTTTTACCTCTTCTCCGCCCATAGCTCCTGGCTGCATGTAAACACAGAAGAAAATTGTCGGTACAGCTGTCATTAGATTTAGCTCCAAAAGCAAAGAAAACGTAGCTTCTACCTCTTGCTTTTTTCCCCTCCCACCATAAAGAAGGAAAAGACATTCAAAAAGTGCAAGATGAAATTCAAACAACCCAAGACAAGAGAAGAAGTTTGAAGATGACACAGCTGGGGGGGGAGGGGGGGGTCACAAAACCCACCCAAGAAAAAAACATGGAACGTACCTGCTGTGCAAGTTTTCTACACAGAAAAGGTATCCAAAAAATCAGGCATATCAGACTTAA